AACATCTTCGTGCGCTTCTACGGCGTGAGCGCCTTCGCCATCGACTGGCTCTCCATGAGCTACATGCTCACCTACATCCCGCTGCTCTTCCCCGTGGCCTGGCTGCTGGACAAGAGGGGCCTGCGCCTCATCGCCCTGCTGGGCTCGGCCCTGAACGCCCTGGGCGCCTGGGTGAAGCTGGGCAGCCTGAAGCCGCACCTCTTCCCTGTCACTGTCCTGGGGCAGGTCATCTGCTCCCTGGCCCAGGTCTTCATCCTGGGCATGCCCTCGCACATCGCTTCCGTCTGGTTCGGCTCCCATGAGGTCTCCACCGCCTGCTCCGTCGCTGTTTTTGGGAACCAGGTGATGGGCGCTGCTCCCTGGCTGGGGGATGGGCTGTCACTTGCCTGGCCGGAGACTGAGCTCGGAGAGGGACAAACCTGGGAAGGGGTGCATAGGGCCGGGAGGGCAGCAGCAGGGATAAGAGGGACGAAGTTCCCCCTGGGTTGTACAGCTGGTACCTGGAAGGACGCAGCTGGGGTTAGGCTGTGGGCTGATGGTGGTGACAGCCACTTAGTTATGTGGGAACTAAGTCTAGAAAGCTGGGGGCAGCATGGGGGTTGGGTATGATTCTGGCTTTGAGAGGTGTTTGGACTTGGAGTCTTCTCCAGTGCCCTCCTACTCCCATATTGTGAATCTCCAGCTCAGGGGCACGTTTCAGTAGAAACACAGGTGGGCTGGAGGGGAGCGTGTGGTGCTGAGAAAAGCTCTTTAGAGTGTCCTGCCGACCTCAGATCTGCAGTTGCATCTGGAATTGACACCACGATATCCCCCTCCTACTGACAACTAGCTGGGACAAAGGAGATTAGCTGTCTAGTGAAAAGAGTTCTTCTCACTGAGCCCTGGAGGAAGAGGACTTTAGTGCTTTCATACCTCTTAAAAGTAGGTGAAGAGTTTCCACAAGCAGGTGCTTTGAAAAGAAGCAAGTCTTCCACCAGGCTAGGGTGGGGTAAGCTTCCCAAGCACTCTTGTGTCAAGGCAGGTCAAGGAGGCTAGTGACCCCCACGTGCTCAAGCTGTGAGTGACTTTTCTGCTAGCCAGCTAGTGCCTGGAGGGGATACATTTTTCCACAGCTTTGGAAGGATCAGAGAAATAGCTTTTTGACCCTTGCACCAACCGGAACACCCACTCAACCCTGTTGTGTGAAGCAGGTAGGCCTATACTGATGCAATGTGGCATGAGGGAAGTGAGTGTGCCCTGCAATGCTGACAGGGAGGGAAGCAGATCCTGGTGATAGCTGCTAGGCTGGACCTGTGCCCCTTGCTTTGACACTCAGCGTACTTACTTCCCTGCACGTGACTGTGCACCACCCTGGACCATCTTTGATTCAGCCTGATTTGAATGGCTTGCAGTTCAGGTGGTTTCTAAGGCAAGGCTTTTCCTCACAGATAACTTTGTGTCCAGTGTGTCTGAGGTCTCCTTTCCCTA